GTATGTTTTGTTACATCTCAAAAGTATATTAGCTGCTTGGAAATTTATTTTAAATAGACTAATTAAGTTTGCTCCAATCCTTCCCTATGGCATAAAACAAGGGGTAACCCCCCCATAAAACAAGGCATAACCCAGGGTGTAGGGGTAGGGGTTACCCATGTGGCTATGTATGGAGGTGGGTAACCTAACCCCGGGGTAGGGGTAACCCCTTACCGAGGGGTAACAAAGGGGTCAGGGTAATACACTACTGATGGGTAACAGACCCATGTTTACATTCACCTGCGCCTGTGTCGCCTGTTTACACTCACAAACGCACATGTCTTCACCAATCACTTGTGAAGGCCCAATTATCGACATTGCCGCACCAAAGCATGCCTTGTTCAGAAACCTAAACCTAAGGATAAGGCACACAGCTGCAGCCTAGATGCAAGGAGGCAGACGAACAGGTGTACATATGCAGAGCAAATTGGGAACCACGAGAAGCCACCAGTGAAGCCAATAAATATCCCTATCAAAGTGTAGCAGCCGGTACACAGTACGGTGCTATAAATACATGCAGAGCGCGACCGCCAGCAACTCAGAGACCTTTTCAGCGGTCAGCTGCTACATTTGGTATCGAGACCTCGTGAAAATTCACGATCCTGAAGTCGTCGGTTCAACCCCCACCGATCACGTTTGAGTGGTATTTCGGGTGTGGCGACTCAGTGAGCGAATATCGCACAAAAACTATAAAAAAAAGTAGCTGAACCGACTGGACTGTCTCTGTGCCTGAAAAACCTGAAGGCTAGGCGCATGTGAATTGGTCACCTCTGAAGGCTAGGCGCATGGGCTTGGTCACCCCACTGCCCGAGGGTAGGAGAAGGTAGGCACAGGCTGGCGGTATACGAGGCTCTAAAGGGCCCGGGACGGTTCCCTTCAAAGGGGGGGGAATGTAGCAGCCGGTACACAGTATGGTGCTATAAATACACGCAGAGCTATAAATATGCGCAGAGCGCGACCGCCAGCAACTCGAGAGACCTTTTCAGCGGTCAGCTGCTACACAAAGGATCCAAAATATTCCTATCAAAAGATCCATGCACCTACCGCCACTCCGGACCTAAGACTCATGGACCAGTTCATGACCTAAGACTCATTGATCAGCCAACAGGCAGCAATGTAAGGTCGGCCAGTAGCTTAAGTGCCCCATCCCGACCTGCTAATTCCAGCTCTATGCACGACCTATGCAACATCCAGAGTCCGCTCGTTTTCAGAGCAGGCTCTTAGGAGAGCCTCTCCTAAGAGTGTCTAGGGTCTTGGGTGGGAGATCCGGATGTTTGATCCCGAATATGGCCACACCCGGCAAAGTGTAAGGCGGTAAAAATCCTCGGATGTCACTGGATGTCTTGCTAAATGAGGTCCATCATAAGTGTGGGCCTGTGCTGCAGAAGGACAGTCAACAGTCTTGTTGTAGTGGTCCATGCACGCAAATACTAGGACGCCACCATTTTTGCCACCATACACACCAGTATTGCAATGTGGATTGTATGTGTCCATTGTATGTTTGGTCAATAGGAATATGATTGACTGAATTGGTGATAGTGGTCATCGCTTATTTTAGCATGTCGATCTAATTTTAAGACCAGCCAAGAGTGTGCATTATATGAGCTTACAAGCTAATTAGCTGTGATTAAGCTTGAATGTGCTTGTCAGGAGTATCAATGGAGGCAAAGCAGCATGCACATATGTGTATGACCACCCCTGGCCGGTAATATGTTGGCCAACCTCAGGACTGATTGCCTGATGTTTTCACAATGAGAACTATTATATAACAATGGATGACAACCAAAGGCACCCATTTAGTGAAGACCTGTGCTGCCAGCATTCACGCCTTCTCCTGTACTCATCTACAAGCTCTCGTAACAGGCCAAGAGATAGGTACTTATTGCTTATTCCTTGCATGTGTGATGCCATCATTAGAGACCTTAAGGTTGAAATGGCAAATGATGCTTTCTGAGATACCAAGATACTGTAGGTTGCTAATGTTTACATTTTTACTAGTATCCTAAGC